TCCCCAAAAACTGCTGTGTCGAGTTGTCGGGACTGGATCCTAAGAAACGATGAAAGACAGGCCAAGACGGACGAAAAAGTTGAGGAATGGAAGAATAGAGGCCAAGTTGGTTTAAATAAGAAGCTGCAAAACCCTAGAAGTTATAAAAAAGAGAAAAAAATGACGAAGCAAAAGTTAAGTAGCGTCTTGAGAATGTCTTAAGCACTCTATGTCTTGTCACTCATTGTCGACATAAGCTAGATTGCTGGGAAAGATTATAGGCGGGAAAAAAGGGTAGCGCAAAATTGGCTCAAGGAGAGGAAGCAAAGCTCTCTCTGTCTCTACTGCCACCTCTACCCGCAACTGATAGTGATAGAGACCCACCCTATTCAAATATTCAATATTTCTCTTTCTGAGCTAGCCAGGTCTCTCTCTGCCACAGGCAAAGAGAACTAGTCTAAGAGAGAGAGAGAGATGAGGAAGATGAAGAAGAAGAAGAATAAAAATATCTGAGCTTTATTGGTTGGGATATATTGGTGACGTAATGGAACAGCCAACAGCCAAAAAGTTTCACAAATGTGGCATGGTGGCCCTAGCTTCAGCTTCAACTCTATTCCTAGTCCCTACCCCCATGGCCCCTTCCTTGTTCAACTCTCTTAACTGCAAGGACTATTGAGGATATCATATGTGATGATGTTTGCTGTGTTCCATGTGAGTCTGTCCTATGGTTTTCATGGATGTTCCATCAAATTCTCCCGGGGCAACGACGCGTGGAATTCTGATGGATGATCAGACATTGTACTAGGGGGTTATTGTGAATTTGTGATGGCAGTGTTTGTTTGCACACAATTTATAATTAGGTTAATATGTGCAGTAAGTAACATAAACAGGTGGGTTCAGTTGTATTAATAATTAGTCCCATAATTAAAGTAGAAATGAAATGGGTCTAAATTCAGTTTGCAACAATTATGCACGATTCAAGTGTTTTTGAAGAAAATACTAATTTGGTTCTCTCGCACAAACCCAATAACCATGATGTTTTTTGTGATTATTATCCAACATTAAGAACCCAACAAACATACATTATGCTTCTCTATTATTAACATGTACTCGTTGGCTGCTGATCAACTTAGTTTAACCAAAAGTTTAAGGAATTGGTGGTTAAATAAGCAAAAATTACAGCCCTAATGATCCTATAGGTATAAAATAATATTAATATTATATTTGAATGCGCTCAACTCAGCAGACTTGCTCGTGACAAATACGTTTCCATTCCATTGTCATCATGATACGCGGTTTTCAAAAATATATCTTCCTTCTTCTTCATCAGCTGAGTCGACCGTTACGGAGCTCAAGCCCCCGTTTTAACGGCTAACGGGTTTCCACGCCCCATCGTTTGAAAGGCCGTCACACGTGGCATCGTCCTAGTAATTAACGTTGTATCTATAGTCTTTATTATCCTTCGCCGCGAGTTAGTTAGCTTTGCGCGAGTGGTTCGCGCGAAAAGTGTGGGCCCAGTAACCGACGTTTAACGTCCCAAAAGAGACACCACTCCAAATTGGCTTGATTGACCGAGAGGCTTGAGCCCAGCCGCGTCTCAGCCGATCAGGGAGTGTTGAGGAAGATTTGTTCGGATCACTAAAGCACCGCAACCGCAAGTGTGGTGTGGTGGTGGAATGCGGGACCCACACGAGAGGGAATGATTGCCCGGACGGCTTGCGATGGATCCGGCGTGGGCTAGCGACTATCATTGAGCTCGCAAGTTTAGGAAGGGAGGGAGGGAGAGACGAGAGAGGGGAGGTGTCTTTTGCTGGTTTGTATCTGTGGGTCCCTCACCTGTGGTCCCTTGTTGGGCCCGCCAGAATGTCCCAAAACAGGGCCGACTAGGCCCTACAAGCAGGTTTTAGGAATGAGCCCACTTCTTCTCACTCGGACTCAGCAATCAGTATCTGCTCCCGTCGGCAGGCAGCCCAAAAGCATGGAATTTTTGACTGCAGGTTATAGCAGTTAATGAGAAGTTTCCTGGTCCTCCTGTCAATGCTACTAATGTACAGAATGAATTGGACGAAGATCTCCTCCTTACTTGGTAGGCTTCACCACAACATTCATTTTATTTCATGAAATGGAGCGTTTTTGAGATGCTTGAGATGATTGTCTATGACAGGTCTGGGATCCAAATGCGGCGCAATTCATGGCAGGATGGTGTTCTTGGCACAAATTGTCCAATCCCTCCTAAATGGAATTGGACTTATCAGTTTCAAGTTAAGGATCAGATCGGGAGCTTCTTCTACTTCCCATCTTTAAATTTTCAGAGAGCAGCAGGGGGTTTTGGTTCCTTTCATATTAATAACAGGGAAATTATTGCAATTCCTTTTAATAAGCCTGATGGGGATATCTTCATTACTATTGGTGACTGGTATACGCGAAACCATACGGTCAGTATTTGTTACTGTTTTGGTTTTTTCATGTGAACAATGAAGGTACAGAAATGACTCCCCCAACCCCCTTTCTCTTTTTCTAGGCACTGAGAACTGCTCTTGATGCTGGAAAAGACCTCGGGATGCCAGGTGGAGTTTTTATCAATGGGAAGGGGCCTTGTCAATATAACAATACCCTAGTACCTGATGGGATTCAGTTTGAAACCATCAACGTTGATCCATGTATTTTTTTCAGCCTTCTTTTTACTATTCACTTTGTTTTCACAGGTTTTCTAGTTTCTGATCATTTGAGTAGATAAATGCTGATTCCTTTGTTGTTATAGCTTTGTTTCCTCTCTGTATGATATCATTATAAGTATGATTATTTGTTAATAACTCCATTCTACTATCATGGAGCTTAATTATTTCACTTGATTTGGTTCAGAATGCCCCAAGTAATTTCAGTTTCCATAGCTGTGCCTATGAAGCAAATTTCTGCGCCTCTAAATAACACTAAATTCAAATTAGGATTGTGCTAGGACATCTCATACCTGTGGTGCAATATTCTTATATCTGTTATGTGTGTTGCATTTCTCTTGGAAAATTGTTTCACATGACATTCTACTTTGCAGGAAAGACTTATCGATTACGTGTGCACAATGTTGGTATTTCAACAAGTTTGAACTTCAGAATTCAGAGTCACAATCTGCTTCTAGCTGAAACAGAGGGGCATTATACAATGCAACAAAACTATACAAACTTTGATATTCATGTAGGACAGTCATATTCATTTCTTATTACCACGGATCAGAATGCCAGTAGTGACTACTACATTGTTGCAAGTGCAAGGTTTGTAAATGAGTCAATTTGGCAAAGGGTTGGTGTTGCTGTCTTACACTATTCCAACTCTAAAGGTCCAGCAAGTGGTGCTCTCCCTGACCCTCCCAGGCTCCCAATGATGTTTATGACAAGACATGGTCGATGAACCAGGCATTGAGTATCAGGTTTGTTTTTTTTTCAGATTATGCTCATTCAAGAGGTTGACATACTGTAACATTTCTTGTGGTAGTGAGATGTTAACAGTTTGCTTATGAGGAGTCATCAGTTCTCTTTTATTGAAAAGAATAGAACAGAAATATCGACTTAAACCGTTTTCGTGCATGCATATTTTGGATTTCCACTTCAAGCTTCCTCATCCTTTCCCCTATTTTGTTCAGCTTTAGGCGAATCTGAGAATATTTGTTACTAGTGCACTTCAATCGAGAGTATTTGTTACTAGTTCACTTCTCTCAAGTCTTTGGCTTTGTTATTGTCAGGCAAAATGGATCTGCAAGTGGAGCTCGCCCTAATCCTCAGGGATCATTTCACTACGGTTCAATTAATATCACCGATACATACGTGTTAAAGACAATGCCACCACAGATAATCAATGGGAAACTGCGAGCTACACTAAATGGCATCTCATTTTCCAATCTTACTACACCAATCAGGCTTGCTGATCAGCATAAAGTTAGAGGAGCCTATAAGCTTGATTTCCCCAATAAGCCACTAAATAGATCCCTCCGAAACGACATATCTATTATCAATGCTACATATAAGGGTTTTATTGAAATCATTTTCCAGAACAATGACACCACAGTGCAGAGTTTTCATTTGGATGGATATTCCTTTTTTTTTTGGTTGGGTAAGTTTTATTTTATTTTAAATTGCTTTATATCATTCACTTTAAAAACATGGGTGTTTAGAGAATCTGATTTGTTGTGTACAGGATGGATTATGGTGAGTGGACTGAAGACAGCAGAAATAGATACAATAAGTGGGACGGAATCTCTCGCTGCACTGCACAGGTTTGTCTTCTTATTGGAGCATCTGTTTCTCTTACCCCAAAAAGGGAAAAAAAATTCTGTGGAATAAGCCTACATGAATGTGATGTTGTGTTACAACTTACAATATGGATGCTTAGATGTTGATTGAGGTTGCTATTGTTTCTCTTGTGACAGTTTTAGACTCTGATTTTTTGAAACGAATGGCCACATATCTATTATCCTGGATCGTCTTATTGTTCATGCATTGGTGTTATGAAGTTATGAGGATGACTTTGCAATGCTTGTTTTTTATATGTCTTGCATTAAGTGCTTCTCTTTTGCGAATGTGTAGTTTTTCCCGGTGCATGGACGGCAGTGCTTGTCTCGCTTGACAACCCTGGGGCATGGAATCTTAGATCACAAAACCTTGATAGATCGTATCTGGGCGAAGAGACATATTTGAGAATTGTGAATCCAGAGGAGAATGGTGAAACAGAGTTTGGTGTGCCCGATAATGTTCTGTATTGTGGTGCCCTAGCCTACTTGCAGAAGTATGCTAACAATGCCATTAACTCATTCTCCCCCCCTCTCTCTCTAGATGAATGTTTTCATTCTAACATTTCCTTCTTTGGCATCTTCAGGGAACAGAAGCACTCTTCTGCAACATCAATTTCCGGAGGAAATATCAAGCTCTTCTCCCTGCTAATGGCATTCTTCACTTTGGTTTTGTACTTTTAGATGATGAATTTATTGGTGGCTATGAGTTTTTCTCTCTCCTCATATTAAGGAGCTTCTAGAGGTCTCCATATTTTAGGAGATGGATAAGGAGTATGGTTGGAGTTGTATTTTTCCAATTCCTTCTTAAAATTTGTCTAAGGAGGTAGTTTAAGGAGTCTATTGTGGATGCTCTAAGGATCGTATATAAGGCCCTTACTATAGAATGACTCTAGATAAGTGTTTCTTTAAATTTTGCTATGATTAGACCGGCCCTAGAGTTTCATGAAGCTTTTAGGCCCGTTGGTGGCCCATATAACATCAAAATTTGCACCCTCAATAACAGGGCTCATTCAGACCCAAAATTTAACAAGGGCTTACAAGAGAGTCCTTAATACTCATCTAATCAATGAAAATCATATTAGTAGACGGCTAGATTGAATCCCTCACTACTATAACTCCTCATTATAGAAGTTTGTCTCCACCTATGATCCATAAATTTGTTGAGACGCAGATCAAATAAATTTTACAATATGATCAAGGACAGCTGCAAAAGCATGTCTAGGGTGGGCACCGAATATAGAAAGGGTTGGATTTGTGGGTTTGATTGAAGAACATAATAGCGCGAGTCACATGGTGTGCTTATTTATTATTATGCACACTTATGATTACATTAATATCTTCCTTCTTCCGCAAACAACAATTTGAGATAAATTAATGCATTAAACCTTAATTATCAATCATAATTACCTCTCTAAAATACCATTTTGTTCATGTCATGGCAACATTCTCTTCTTGGTCATAAATTTTTTTTCCATCCCAAGCCTCTACATATAGCTATCGTGCGTTTACCTGCATTTCGCTACATCCAAACCATCCTAATAATCTAACTGCTTAAAACATGCCACATCATCAAGCTTGAGTTTTTTTAAAAAAAAAATAAAAAATAAAAATAAACTCACATTTTATGCCTTGCCTGGTTTGAGTGTATTTCTTCTGATTGTTCATCGTACGACTTGCTCCTTTCGTTATAATTAAGTGAATTAATATTGCCCATTATTGGGAGAGTTTCATTTCCAATAAGGCAAAAGTAGTTTTTCTATTCTTCTTTTCTTTTTTTCTTTGCACATATTTTTTTTACAAATTTATAAATAAATCCAATCCTAGACATGTATTTATAAAAAAACCCAAACACTATTTAAACATAGAAACACGTCCAAAATTAACCCCAAAGTCAACAATTGTATATTTTTTGGGTGTGTTTATAAATGAGTTTTGAGTGTGTGTAATGATGAGTTTTGGGTGTGTTTATAAAGTGTTTTGGGTGTTGGGTTTTTTTATAATTTCAGCTCCCATTTTGGGTGTTTTAGTGAAACGCCCTATTTTTTTCCTTCCTCTTTTGATTGAAAGATATCAACACAAGGTTTTGCTTATCAGTGGATGAAGAAGAAGGTAGCTAATTGAAGTTCAAACTCAAGGAATCATATAAACTTCCATTGGCATTGCTCTTTCTTCCCAAAAGGCAAAGGAAAAAAATATGTGAACTGGAAGAAGAAAAAAAAAAAAACAGAAAACTAATTTTACTTGATTGGTTGGGAATTAAATTTTTTTGCAGACATGGGAGTTTTTCCATTACATGACAGAGCAAGAACTCAACCCAGGTGAAGACGCTCAAGGCACGAAGGCAGAAAAAAAAAAAATTATTTAGAGCATTAACGTTAGTTCAACGTCAATTTAGAAAGAAAAAAAACTCAAAGCTTGATGGTGTGGCATCTATTAAGCATTTATTATTAGGATGACTTGAATGTAATGAAATGCGGGTAAATGCACAATAGCTAAATGCAAAGGCTCGACCTCAGAGTGTTGATGGACTTAACTCACTACATACTAGAACAGAAAAGAAAGTTGAGGGCTTAATTAAGTTACAATCATGATGTCGTTTTATTATGTACAGGGAATTTTTGAGTTCAACAACCTCCTCCACCTTCCCTTTTATATATGGACTTAAAACCTATGATCAGTATATACTACTAAAATAATTAATTTCAAGGTGTCACTTCCATACTTCGATTCGATTAGACAACTACTGGTTGTCGTTTACTTGTATCTGAATGTCATTATATATATATAGACACTATCAATAGGGCATATATATAATCTCATGAGTAGCTATTTCCCTTATTAGAAGCATCATCCTGGCTGAGCTGTGAAGCTACAAACTTGTCAAGCATTCGCCAATCGGTTAGTTGATCTACGGCTTGCGGATGATCATCATTACTGTTATTACCATAGACTGCTCCATGAAAGTTTTGATCTTGATCCGACGGCTGAAAAGTGCAAGCGTGGTTGATGTCAATACTATATGCATGAGCTGCCATGGAGTTGGAGCTGCTTACACCTGTGGCTGAAGATTGGAGTAGTTTTGGGCTCCCCAGAAAGGGGAGCTGGAAGAAGTGCTCATGGGGAAACTGGAAAGCTGGCAAGTGATCCAGCTCTTTCTTGCAAGGGTAAGGAAGGTGGTGGTATGGTGCCATATTAATGTTGGAGTTTGAGTTTTGGTTTGGTGAGTCCAAGTCCGGCATGAAGGAGACTTGGTCATCATACCAACATGGTGACTCATGTTCATTCATTTTAATTCTCAGGCTTGCAATTTTCTTCTTGAAAACCCTACACACAACCCAGCCTTCTTCCTGCTTCAATTGCAAAAGAAATCGAGTTTGAATGCAATGTAATATTCAGACCAAAAAAAAAAAGAATGCAATGTAATAAGAAGAATCAAACTATTTGTTCTATCTCAACCGACACGCTCTATGATCAGTTGAAATGGTACAAATAACAGCCTCTACATAATGCAAGAAAGTCGTAATATCAGTGAATTAATTTCTTACCTGTGGAGTTCCATTTTCATCGGTTTCAAGACGGTATTCGTGCATAATCCAATCTGACTTTTGCCCATTTGGGGCTCGCCCTTTATAGAATACTAAGGTCTTCCTCATGCCAATTAAGTCATGCTTTGAGTAAATGGCCTTGTCTCTACCTGTGGCTTTCCAGAAGCCTGCAGCGGTGGCTCTATTTGTTCGAGTTCCAGTGGGATACTTCTTGTCTTTATGGCTAAAAAAGTACCATTCGTTTTGCTCTTCTGTCCCTATTCTGCATAATTCTGTATGTCCAAATTCATGTAAGTCATATTAGTATGCATTCTTGTGAACCGACTCCAATATACTGGTTGTGAGAGTATACATACCTTGAAGATCCCATGGCTCAATTTTATAGAGGTCTACATCTTTGATGACATCAAGGTCAATCCTTCTTGAACTAACCTTTTTCCTGAGGTAGTAATCAACAAGTTCTTCATCCGTCGGATGGAATCGGAAACCAGGAGGAACATGTGAAAAAGTGTTCATATTATCCAGCTTAGCTTCTTGTTCTTCAGTCCTGATTATATAGAGGAATGCGTGTTAAGGGTTCAATCAAGTGGAATTGTTTAACACAACTCTTCATCAACATATGTAATCACCTCCATTTGATTATAGTTAAGTTCAACTCTAACCAAATGTGAATGTCTGTCAAACCTCTCTCTAGCTTCAAAGTTCAATGTCATACAAGGAAAGAACATACGTTCAGACTAATATGCACATTATATGATTGAACTTTTCTTATACACACCACAATTAAATCTTTCGCATTTGTAAAATTGGAAAAAGGTGAAGAAGAAAAACGTTTTGACATTATACTAATCTGTACTTCATATTGCACTCAAAGGCCTTTATGTAATTGGAGAAGGAGCCTGTAAAGTTCAAAACTTTCATATTGCATGCACTACACAAATTTATTTTGCATGGGATGAGTAATTAATGAATGATGACTGATTCTGTCTGGTTTTATAAACAAAATGAGCTCTGATAACTGAGATTGTTTCATGTTCCTGAAACTTAATTCATTTTTTAAATTAATTAAAAGACTATTTGCCCTAATTAATGTGGGAAAATATCCATTGTGAAGGTGATAATGAAAAGTAGCATTTAATCATGAATATTCAATGAGTTGAACGAACTCGGGAAGAAAAGGGGGTTCTTTTTGGGTAGTTCTATACCACAGAACAAATTTCACAATACATAACATGTGGGAGAAAACTTTTCCTGGATGATGATTAATATTATTATGTTTGTGATATGATCAATCTTTCTACAGTCTCACGATGATATCAAAACCAGCATTCGATTACTACCATTAATACATGAAAATTACAAATTAATGATCTCCAATTATGATCAGATGCCACTTGTATACTTCTCATATGATTTTTAATCACTGGAATTATAGAACATCATTAAAAAGAAACCAAAAAGACAAGAGCTGATCTTTTCCCTTAAATTGTACGTTGATATCTTTGATAGGTTTACAAGGTCAATGAGAAGTCCTGATTATGTACAACGGAAAGTAAAATCTTTTGAGATGGTTGATGAAGAACAAGCTCCTACGCTTAGCTAACCCACCCTCTAACTTCAAAATCGATATAATATTGAAAAGATATATCCCACAAAGTATTCAACCCATGAACACATCGAAAAGCAAACAAGCAGAATTTCATGAAGCGAAGAAAATTAAAAGAGGAGAGAGAGAGAGAGAGAGAGAGAGAGAGAGAGAGAGAGAGAGAGAGAGAGAGAGAGAGAGCTTACAGATAAACAACAAAATCTTGAGCTTTGCAATCCCACACAGATCTGATCGGTTATATTTCAGGCAAGCTAACTTCACTTGTTTGCTATATGATGTGCTTCTCAAACCCTCACTACGCCAAAGCATGAGACAAGGAAACAAATTCAAACAGCAAGACAGAACATGTAAACACAGTGACACATATATATAAGAATATGAGCACTGCAGCCCTCGGGAGTTGAACACCAACTTGGTCTCCAGTCCCCAAAAACTGCTGTGTCGAGTTGTCGGGACTGGATCCTAAGAAATGATGAAAGACAGGCCAAGACGGACGAAAAAGTTGAGGAATGGAAGAATAGAGGCCAAGTTGGTTTAAATAAGAAGCTGCAAAACCCTAGAAGTTATAAAAAAGGGAAAAAAATGACGAAGCAAAAGTTAAGTAGCGTCTTGAGAATGTCTTAAGCGCTCGTTGTCTTGTCACTCATTGTCGACATAAGCTAGATTGCTGGGAAAGATTATAGGCGGGAAAAAAGGGTGGCGCAAAATTGGCTCAAGGAGAGGAAGCAAAGCTCTCTCTGTCTCTACTGCCACCTCTACCCGCAACTGATAGTGATAGAGACCCACCCTATTCAAATATTCAATAGTTCTCTTTCTGAGCCAGCCAGGTCTCTCTCTGCCACAGGCAAAGAGA